CACATCTTGAAAACCAAAGATTTCTCAAATGCGGGTAATCCTTCTTCACATCTCATGTGTTCTTTTGAATATGAGAATATTTGGGCACTAACATATATGCTTCTACTCGCGTAATCTTCCCGCCTGTCAAGGCTGTTATATCTATCTTAACTACATCTGCTTAAACTAGTTTTTCTTTGATCTACACGCGAATGTTTTTATTCCGAGCCACTCTTTTCCTAATTAACTTCTAGTTCAATCATGACTACGAGCCGCGCTTAATCGTGATAAATGATTTGTGACTACCCGAGTCAAATAGCAAACTAATCTTTCTCTGGCCTTTCTCCGTTGCAGCTTTCCCAGAGCAGTTGTAAAGCCACGCGATCCCCCGTCTCGACTGGCATATTGACGGCCCACGTGTTACCGTACTCGGCTCCGATCCCGCTCCCTTCTATATAACTGGGCATTTTCTCCTCACACAACGACGTATGATGCCGCCACCCCCCCACAGCGTTTACACTTTACTACACCTGGACAATCTCGGCGCGATGCCCTTTCCTTATAGCCCTTGTAACATCTAGCATATCTGCGCAGGAGCTCTTTTCTTTCCCTTTACACCCTTGACACTTTGACCACAATTTTCATGGCATGCTCGTCCCAAACAAAATTCACACGTATTTTCTCTGTCTCGTCCGGCGTGAACAATGCAGCTCGCTGTCGAGGGAAGCTGTCCCATCGTTGATTCACTCTACCCGTCGGTCGTCTGGCTCCACTCTCTGTGGTGGCTGCAGCTCTGATCGTTTCCTCTCGCAGATCTACTCTGTTCTTAAGGCTTCGAGCATATCTTTTCATTGTCGCAGTGCCAGATATTCCCTTCCCCGCGTAATGGTGAGTCTTAACGGCACGGTAGCTTCTCCATGATTGGGCGGGCACAAACTATACTCGAATACGTTCTTCCGGAGGCCCAACGCCTTCAATCCTCTATAGTGCGTTTCGACTGGTATCGCACAAGCCTCTCACGCCGCACTGTATCTCTCACTGAATACCGTGCAATGTTTTAGGAGTTCGTTCACAGAGGCGCTCGCTGTATGATATTCCTCTTCCCATATCGTTCCTTCAACAGTTCTACTGCAGCTTGATAATTCGGCGCTAGTGTAATGCAACCCCGCAATCGCAGATTTCGCGGTTCTTCCACAGTCCTCGCAAATATGTGAATTTATCCACAATCTGACAAGCATTCATTTCCCATGAATGGCGCTCTCGTAACAGTCGCCAAATCCTTGCCATTCGTGCTACTTTTCCGTTGAACTTCCTTACCTCTAGCTTAGGTAGTTTAGGCCTCACTGCCCTTGCAGACGATACTGGGTGCAACTCCGATACTGGCTGCTCTGTTGCTCCTTGTTCCTCTCTCTCATTTGGAACTAGCTGCCATCCATGTATCCTTGAATCATGTCTTGCCTGTCTACTCTGAACGTGCCAGCTTCTTCCACTTCTACTTCTATTATGCCATGTATTTTGTTCTCACTCTCTCAAGTGCTTTTGCGTCTAATCTTCTGTACGGTAGCAAAAGTTTTTTGCTGTCAGCCATTGCTTATGTTGTGTAACCTTCTGTCACTGTCACTAGGCAACTAGTAGCTAGTATCAGTATCTCAGCCATTCAAGTGTGACTATTGTCATGACTTTCTTAGGCATAAGCTCGTATGCCCTCCTCTCATCCTCTTGCTTCTTCAATAGTTCATTCCCATTGCGACAATGTATCGTTCACAGTGGGCCAGTGCGGACGATGCTGTCTTATCTGGTCTAACTCTTCGTCTAACCATCCAGATCTAACAATCATCGCGTCTCGAAGGACATGTGTTCCTTCTACCTTCCTATTTCTTGCAGTTACATCTAGACTGGCCAAAGGAATTCTCAACTATCTCGATGCTTTCTCATTCTACCCATCTATCAGAAATCCTTTCAATATCTCCTACCGAAGGCGTACTTTAGCTCATAGGGTGCTATGTCCCCAGGGTAGCTGCAGAACAACCCTGGGTACGCAGTCGCGGTATACGGAACGTACCTGGTACTAAATTTGATATGGTTAGGGTTAGGATTAGGGTTAGGTTGTGTTAGGCGTAGGTTTGGGTTACGGGATAGGCGTAGGTGACTCGCCTAAGACTCGTTAGTGGAGTAAGGCGAGGTCAGCGGTCGGCAATTTAGATAGTACCAGGGGTACGCTTCGCGGTATACGCGGACTCGTACCCAGTGTACGTTCCGGCCAGTAGCCCCGCCGGGGACATAGACCCTCTCAGCCATACTTTATTCTCACTGAACCTTAGTAAAATCTTGTAGAGTAACGGGTTAAGTGAGAGACCCCCACATCGCAGACAGTCATTTAGTGAGGTTCCCACTTGTCTCTCTTTGCTGAGCGCAATCATAATCGAATGCCGCAGCTTCGTTGTTTGCGCTTCGCTATGTATTACTGCTGGTGTGGCAGATCAGTGTATCTTTCCCTATTGGTTCCAAGATCAACACTTTTTCTATGATACGCCGAAGCTTAGCTTCTCTTAACTATTGCATCATAACAACATAGGCCACAATTAAAAAAAAATTTGTTTGCCCTCACCTGACCCAGGCTGAAAAGTTTGGGTAGGTAGGTAGGCTTAAAATTTTGTTCGAGGTTTTTTTTTATTACAAATTCAGCATGGTGTCTACTAGGCCGAATATTTCTGTCCCATATAACCTTTTTTTATATTTGGTGAGGGTTATATTGGACAATATAAACCTATATAAACCAATATAACCCTCACCAAAATATAAAAAAGGTTATATGGGACAGAATTATTCGGTCTAGGTGTCTACATGCTCGGTTGTGCTTGTGTGGAGATATCTTTTATGTTGAATGTTTGTTTTGCTTGGTACATATTGTAAAATTGTAAAAAAAAATACAATTTGTAAAAAAAAAGAATGGAAAAGATCAATAAAAATGTTTGAGTCGCGGCCATTTTGGGCGGGTCGGGTTGCGGTGAGGGAAAGAACAAATAATTTTTTATTATGGCCTTGATCCGCAAACGCAGGGGGTAGATTCATGCAAGCTGGCGTACGCAAAATATTTTGCGTAAATCTTGTGTACGCAATCCGACGTAGCTAGTTGCGATTCATCAACACAGCTATTTAGTAAATTTGCGTACCGATTTCGCGTACGCACAGCGAGGCCAGTTTTAGGTGCGCGATTCATGCAAGCTAAATTACGTAAACTTTGCGTACCTTTACACGAAGCTGAGGAGTGGCCGTAAACCACTCGAATTTCCGCAGTGGTTCAGGCATACCGGCATGCATAGCTATTCCTTTTATTGAGAAACATTCATAAAAATTACCTACTCAAACTGAAATATAAATAACTAATACCATCTACACACGACTAGGCGGCGCCTTTGCGCGTTCTTGTCATAGCTTGGCATTTGTTTTCGTTATAAGCGAGTTTCGTAGTTATCGCGTGGTACGTGCCAGCACGCAGCCCCGTGTACATGTACACGC